AGAAAGGTATTATTTAGTCTCCAGGTATCTTGGGATTTCCCATATTTCTATTAATTTCTAGTTTAATTCTAACTGTGGTCTGAGAGCATACTTGCCATGATTTCTGTTCTTTTAAATGTTAACCTGTTTTATGGCCTGGGGTGCGGTCTGAGAATGTACATTCTGCTGTTATTTTATGTCAATTAGATGTTCATTGACGGTGCTCTCCAGTTCAACTGTCCGTACTCTCTGCCAGCCTACTCTGTCAATTAGTGAAAGTTGAAGTCTCCAACTGTAATTTGAAATCTCCAAATGTAGATTTGACTTTCTCCTTGCAGTTTTATCATTTTTTGGCCTTGTATATTTGATGCTTTGTTGTTTAGTGTATACATTTAGGGTTTTTTATATCTCCTTGCAGAATTTGCCTCTTTATCATGTAATGCCTCCCTTTATTTCTTGCTTTGGTCTGCTGTCTGAAATATAGCTAATATAGCTTTATTGTGATTAGTGTTTCCATGACACCCCCTCCTCCCTTTAATCCTCACCCAAGGAGTGAGGACATTTGTCCCAGATTTTTAGTGTGTGTGTGTGGGTAATTGAACCCAAGCCCCTTCAGTGAGTGGGCCAATGCTCTAACCACTGAGCACAGTGGCCAGGGCTCTCTATCCCTTTTTTAATGTCTCTCTCTTTATTTTTTTTATTTATTTATTTTTAAATATATTTTATTGATTTTTTTTACAGAGAGGAAGGGAGAGAGATACAGAGTTAGAAACATCGATGAGAGAGAGTCATCAATCAGCTGCCTCTTGCACACCCCCTACTGGGGCTGTGCCCGCAACCAAGGTACATGCCCTTGACCGGAATTGAACCCGGGACCCTTCAGTCCCCAAGCCGACGCTCTATCCACTGAGCCAAACCGGTCCCGGCTGTCTCTCTCTTTAAAAAGTATATTGTCACTGATTTCAAAGAGGAAGGGAAAGGGAGATAAGAGATATCAATGAGAATTGATCCACAACCCCCACATGTGCTCTGACTAGGAATTGAATCATGACCTCACTGAGCCATGCTGGCCAGGTAGTGTGTCTATATTTAAAATTGGTTTTAGACAACATATAGCTGGGTCTTTTTTTTTTTTTTTTTTTTAAATCCCGATAGACTTATCTACAAAACTGACATTTTAAGTGATTACTGATATAGTTTAGTATCTACCATATTTGTTTCTGTTTCTATCACTATCCTCGTTCTTTGGTCTTATGTCTCCCACTCTTTTTGGTAGGGATAGGGGAGGAAAGTGAAGTACAGAAAAGGGTATGGATTTTGAGCATCCAGAGGTGAATGGTAGTGGACCTTTCTATTTAAAAAAAAATATATGTATATTTTATTGATTTTTCACAGAGAGGAAGAGAGAGGAATAGAGTCAGAAACATTGATGAGATAGAATCATCAATCAGCTGCCTCTTGTACACCCCCTACTGGGGATGTGCCCACAACCAAGGTATAATACTTGCCCTTGACCAGAATCGAACCTGGAATCTTTCAGTTCACAGGCCAATGAGCCAAATCAGTTTCGGCTGGACCTTTCTATTTTTTCGGCTGCTCCTTTTTGGAAAATTCCCCATGAGTTTTTGTGGGCATTAATATGTTTCCTGCTATAGAAGCTAAAATAAACCATCTTTCATCCCTTCACCCCTTGGCACCCAGAATGTGGAGTGATGACCTGGGCTTGGACAAATGGGCACTCCCAAGCAGGCCTTTAAGTCTTCACCAAATGACAGAGCAACTAAAATTTATTCCCAGCAGAGGGCTGGTGGCTGTCCTGCAGCCACTGAAATTTTTGCTAAACGAAAGCAGGTTCATTCTTGTGGAAATGCTTGACTAAACTGGAGTTCAAATCCTATGTGACTTCAAGTAAATGTCTTCCTATAACTATCATAAATGATGAAATTCTACAAGGGAGAACCAGAGAAATCTTAGCTTTGTCACTAGCTGTTACATTGGGCAAAAAAAATTCACCTGAGTTTGTCTTCACTTTTAGAACAAGCACTGCATTTAGAAACCTAAGGGGTGGCAGGCAATTCCTTACAGTGACTTGCCAGTCAGTGAACACTGACTGGCCCGCTGTCTGGCTTACAGGAGGCACTCACCACTGATACCATCAGGGGCCAAGCAACTCGTCTTAGTAGTTCCATGAGAGGGGCCTTGTGGGTCTCCTTCGATATGCTAGTTTGATTCCAAAACGGTGGCAGGGTAAGGGGAAGCTACTTGGACCTTCTCCAGGACCACACTGGAATTATCACTAAAGCACGTATGCTAATTCCAGTGTGTGGAACAGAGCTGGGCCTATAGATGCATTCTTATGAAATTAACACTGGGGGTTGGGGGGGTGGAGGGACACTGTCCTGCAGCCTTTCCAGCTGCAATTGAGCCCAATTCTGATCCCAGGGCAATGTGAGAACCAGGTGGAAAATGTGCATGTGAAGTACTCATCTCTGGTGCACGTTTGGAACTCAACACATGAGTTTCCAAATCTTTCCTTAATTTCATTTTTACCTCTTCCTTTTCAGAATCTAATATAGATGAATTAAAAATTGCTAGGGAAGAAGACTTCAGATCTTTTATGTATACATGGAGTTTCCAGATGGTTTTATTGAAGGATTGATCACGTGCTAATAAATTCATTGGTTAGAATTAATGTGCTATAAATATCTAAGGGAGAACTTTCCAATGCTTATGGCATTAAATGACAATTTATTAAGTTATATGAAAAATGATGTTAACTATGAATATGAATAGGAACAGAGCTTGGAAGAGAATTTGGAAAGTTAATTTTTGCTATGCCAGACAGTAAAATTAAGGTGAATCTTTAGTTTGAACTTGTGAAAGAAAAAAATGCCCCCCCCAAAAAGCCCTGCCTTCCAGGGATCCAATCAGGGAATATAAAATTCTTGTTACCTACTGGAGACCACACACGATCCAAGGCAGTGGGAATTGTACTGGTTGTCATGATGACCAAGAATGGAGGGGAAGCACTAGGGAGATTGAGGTTCCTAGGTTTGGCTGCACAGTATGTTATAGAAAGTAATCTTAGCTTTGTCACTACCGTTATATTGGGCAAAACAGTTCACCTTTGTTCTTAGAAATTCCGTTTCCAAACAAAACTCATTCACCTTCATCTTTCCCATTCCTCACAAAGGCTTCCCCATCTTGGATGACCTTGGATACCTCCTTTCTGCAGGTCAACGGCTCTTCTCTTCTGTGGCCACTGCCTTTGTTCAGGTCCCAAACAATCTGCAATTGCTGCATGCCCGCCAAATGCTGGGTTTCCTGCAACTGATGGCTCCGATCTTCCTGCAGCACAGCTCAACCCGCACCCTCAGGCCCAAATCTACTTTCCCCAGCACTGGCAGGTCAAAGGCAACTCCCCTCCCGCCCCATCTATTATATTAAGCCCTCTGTTACCCAATCCATCTTGTCAAACTTGCTTTTCTTACCCCTATTCTCAAACTCCAGGTTCACAGGGCACCCTGTCCTACGCTTTCCCAATTACCTGGTACTGCTCACAGAAGTTTCTTTCCACAGGAATGCCTTACACCCTCACGTTTCCTAAGGTTCAGTCTAAAAGACATCACTGAATTCAGATGAGGTTTTAACTCCCTTCTCTGAATTGTTGCTTTATCCTGGTGGTGTTTATCATATGCAACCAGATCACAAACTCCAGGAGGACAAGAAACACTCTAGGATTTGCTTTTGAGTGTGTCCAACAGGGTCTGCTCTAAGGCAACAGGATAGAATTGTAAATCTAGCCTCTTGTACGCTGGCAGCGGTCTGAAAAGTGGCGCTCTCCCCCCTAAAACTGGTGCTGATGGTCCTCTGGCTTCTCAACAGTTCCTGAAGGATGTAGACCAGATTGGAATCACTGAACCGCTGGTACCTCATTCAGAACTGGGCCAGACAAGTAATGGAGAATGAGAGGGATGAAGCTAATCCAGCAGTTTTTCTTCCTGGTTTCTTGATCCAAATCTAAGGTGATGAGGCATGCAACTTCAGATTCATGGCCATTAGTTCAAACAGCTCAGAAGAAAGTTATGTTCATGAAGAACTCAGCTGGTGATTCTCCAAGTTCCCAAACTGATTCATTTCTTATCAGCTTGATCATGTGCTTCTCAAGAGAGAAAGGACTATAAATTTCTAAGAAACTAAATTCTTTTATTCTGTTGGGTGAGAAAAATCCTTTAGGAAAAAGTATTGGCTCCCTATCCGTGATCCTAAGAAACCAAAAGAGCCATTATACACTGAACTTTTTATGCTAAGAAAAGTGGTATCAAGAGATCAGAAAATACAACTTTGATTTAAGCACCATGAAATTTTTGTCAAGCAAAAATAGTCTTTATTCAAATTTAATGGAAACAGGGGTCACTATACTTTGCAAGACGGGGAAAAATAAAATTAAAAAAAATTCTTTTCTTTTCTTAATATAAAACAATATAATCACAATACCAGAATATGGAACTCTAGAGTTTGTTTCCTATGGGTTACTGCAGATATCAATTTTCCTTGACTGTGCTATTCACAACTTTGTAAGTCCAAAAATATGAAACCAAGTGGTAGGAAACTTAAGACTTAGCACTTTCACTAAATGGCATACATCAAAGGGCATCAATTCAAGGGCAAAAATGGTTGAACTCACCATACCTACCTATGTCATCATTCCAGCCTTAGACCCGTCCAGGTACAGAGCTCCCTGTGAGGAATGCCAGGCCTGAACGCCAAGACATTTTGGATATTCTACTGTGGACCATGAGGAAAGGGGGTTTTCAAAGAGATTGTTTTCAGTCGAGCAGGAAGGCCTGGCGCCAGGAGGCTTTACGGAGAGGAAGCACTTAGATTTAACAATTGTAGACACACCATTAGGGGAGTTAAAAATGTACAGCAGTGACATAGGTTCTACTTCAATCACTTGTGCTACGGCTACCAAACATGTACAAAACTTCTCGGGTAGTTCCAGCTGTGGTAGTAGCCAGTTAGGATCTTGAGTGGGATCTAGATCTAGACCGGGAAGGCGATCTGGATGCAGACCTGGATCTAGACTTGGACCGAGATCGGGTTTTGGAAGCGGACTTTGATCTGGAGCGTGATTCTGAGGGGTTGGGTTTGGATTTAGAATTGGACCTTGACCGGGACCGGGGCTCCTGATTGGTGCTCGCATCCTTGCTCTCCCCTCCACCTTCCCTCTGGCCAGACTCAGACTTGGCACGTTCCCGCTCCTTTGACACTGAGCGGGACCGTGATCTGGACTGGGAGTGGTCGGCATCTTCCTTCTTTTTCTTCTCGCTGCTGCTGCTTGACTTGCTGTCTCGCTTGCTGCCATGTTTTCTGCTCCTCTTGCTCTTGCTGCGGCTCCGGCTGCGGCTCCGACTGCGGCTGTGGCTGCGACTCTCCTCCCGGCTTCTCTTCCTTCCCTTCCTCTTGTCCTTGCTTTTGCTGCGACTCCTGCTGCGGCTCCTGCTGCCTCCCTTGCTCCTGCTCCTGCGGAGGCCTTTCTCCTGACTCCGGCTCTTCTCCTTGCTCCTGCTCCTGCTCCTGCGCTTCTCCTCCTCTGCTCTCCTCTCCTGGCTCCTGCTCCTGCGCTTCTCCTCCTCCACTCTCCTCTCCTGGCTCCTGCTTCGGCTTTTACTTTTGCTTTTATGCCGACTGGGACTCCTGCTCTTGGACTTCCCAGTGTTGTCGTTGTTCTGAATCTTCTCTTCCGCTTGGTCTTTACTCTTGCTGCGGCGCTTGTCTGCGCTGCGGCTGCGGCTGCGGCTCTTGTCCTTGCTGCGGCTTTTTTCCTTTTTGCTGCGGCTGCGGCTCTTACTGCGGCTGCGGCTCTTGCTCCGGGAATGGGAGCCAGACCTGAGAAGACAGTGATGCGAAAGTCACATACAACTCCATACCTGATGCTAATCATCAGATGGAAAAGCCAAAGGGACATGGAGCTTTGCCCCACATGACTGCTGAACCCCCGTGATTCCAGTCCAGATCTGGAGAAACTGGCGTAAGACTGGTAACATGGCTGTAATCAATGTGGCAAATGGTCTGGGCATTTCCTGTCCAACCCTCCGCTCATACCAAGGAAGACCTACCTAGACCGAGATCGACTCTTAGAATGACTGCTTTTGCTGCTACCACTTCGGCTTCTGCTCTTACGAGAATGTCTGCTTCGAGAGCGAGACCTACAGAGAGAAAACATTAAAAAATATGTTAATAATACTTGCTGACAAAGCCTAGAGAGGAACAGTCAACTAAGGTATTTTTTCAATAAAAATTATGTTTGGCACTGACTGTCCAGGCACAACCTGAGAGAGAACTCTTCCTGTGCTCTAAGCCCATAGATCAAGTTGCTCACAAATATCCCATCTGGATGGCTTACCTGAAACTGAGCAACTCTAACTTTGAACTCACTCTGCTGGGTTCCATCCTCATTCCCAAAGACGCCACGCCCTCATGCTAGAAACCACAGCAACCTGTGATTCTTCTCACTCCTTCATCCTCTTATACATGGTGATTCAGCCTCTTCTCCTGTCTATTCACCTCTGCCTCTGCCCTCTTCCCTTGGTCCCACAACAGCTTCCTGACATGCCTCCTGGCACACCTTTACCCTTTACCCATCTAATCTGTTCACCTCACATGGACTCTCCTTATTGTTGCCTTTTAGGTTCAGTGGGGGGAAACAACAGATTCCAGGAGCAGGGCAGAAAATGAATAAGAAAATGGGCCCAGAACATTCATGATAGAAAGAGGCAAACTCAGTGATTCCTAAGCACCAACATCCATGAAAGGATTCTTTTTTTTTTTTTTTTTAATATATTTTATTGATTTTATACAGAGAGGAAGGGAGAGAGATAGAGAGTTAGAAACAACGATGTGGGAGAGTCATCGATCAGCTGCCTCTTGCACACCCCCTACTGGGGATATGCCCGCAACCAAGGTACATGCCCTTGACCGGAATCGAACCCAGGTCCCTTGAGTCCCCAAGCCAACGCTCTATCCATTGAGCCAAACCGGTTTCGGCCATGAAAGGATTCTTGCCAAAAATGTTTACCTGTATCTCATCTCATTGACTCATCTTGTAGATAACTTCCAGATTACAAAAACTTAAGGGGATACGTTCAAAGATACTAAGAGAAAATAGGCAAATAAATTCAGAATGTAGGATAGTATTAAAAATCAAGAAAAGTAAATGACACAGGGACAAGAAGGTAGGAAAACTACTTCAGACAAAAGAGACCTAACCATCCCTTGCAATGCATGACAGTAAGACTAGATCCTGGTCAGGAAAAAAAACACAGCTCTAAAGACATCCATAGAACAGCTGGGAATACTGTAATATGGCCTGGACATTAGACAGCTTTATAGTCACTATCATTCTTAGATTAGAAAATAGAAGTGTGGTTATCTTCATTTCTTGGAGACACATGCTAAGCATTTAGGGGCCAAGTGCCATAATTTCTACAACTTCCTTTCAAACACTATGACAAAATAAATGTGGAGTGTATATAAATACACATACACAGAGCAAAAAAGACAGAGGGCAAAATGCTAATGACTGTTGCCCTGGCCGATTGCTCAGTGGTTAGAGCATCGTTCCCAGGACTGAAGGCCCCTAGTTCGATTCCCGGTCAAGGGCACACACCCCAGTTTCAGATTTACCAAGCCCGGTAGGCAACCAATGACGTCTCTCTTTCATATCGATGCTCCACCCATACCCCAGCCTCCCTAGAAATTAATGGGGAAAAAATATCCTGGGATGAGGATTAAAAAATAATAATAATGACTGTTGAAGCTGGAAGGTGTTTGTGAACTATTCTTTCAACTTTATGTTTGAAAATGATCACAATAAAAAGTTTTTGGGATCCAGCCAGTGTGGCTCGGTGGTTGAGATCCACCTCTGAACTAGGAAGTCCCAGGTTCGATTCCTGGTAAGGGCACATGTCTAAGTTGTGGGCTCAGTCCACAGTGTGGAGCCTGCAGGAGGCAGCTGATCAATGATTCTCTCTAATTGTTGATGTTTTTATCTCTTCCCTTCTTCTCTGAAATCAATAAAAATATATTTGAAAAAAGTTTTGAGAAATATTTAGTAAAGCATATTCACACAAAATCCAAACCAAACAAAAAGATACTGAAACAGGAGCCAACATGAAGAGCTCTCAATGACTGAAGACATAATATAACATTCTGAGCGTAAAAAATTATGGCCGCAATAGATAAAACATTAACAAGAATTCATTCAAAATGATACTAAATGACCACCTTTATCATCTTTATGAGTTACTAGGGCACATTTAATATTCTGAAAGATGGTAAATAAAAGTATCAAATTTTCAGTTTGCATTCCTGCAAAAACTACTTGAGGGTAACAAAAGTATGGATGACAGAAATTGTCCTTTACGGAAGCATAGCCTTTAAATACAGAAAAAATGATAAAATTAAAGTCATCATTTTGTAACCACCAACGAACAGCTCTAGGTAATAATATCAATAGATGCTAAAATTATTATGTGAAATGTTGATGCAGAACTTGATAATGGATGGTTCAAGCTAATAATGGAACCATCTTTCAAAGTGGGACAGCCAAATGCCACATAAGTGAGGCAACAAGTACAAAGCACTACTTGTGAAGGACACCTGGATTTACTCTAAATGCCTCAACATCTAACAAGTTACAGGCAACATGGGGAATAAGATAAAGAAATGTGTTAACAGCACAAGGACACAATTAGCAAAAATCTCAACTATGGGAATATCTTCAAAACAAATAACCATTTTTTCAACAACTAAATGCATGGAAAATAAAAAAGGTAAAGGAGGACATAAAAGGAGAATTAAGAGCCGGTTTGGCCAATGGGTAGAGTGTCGGCCTATGGCGTGAAGGGTCCTGGGTTTGATTCTGATTAAGGGCACATGCCAAGGTTGCAGGCTTGACTTCCAGTAAGGGGCATGCAGAAGGCAGCCGATCAACGATTCTCTCTCATTACTGATGTTTCTATCTCTCTCCTTTCTCTTCCTCTCTGAAATCAATAAAAATATATTTAAAGAAAAAAAGAGAATTAAGAGACATGATTGTAAGGGGTGCACCTAGTCTCTGCCCATCATCTCCAATTTATCCCTTAGAGCCGTTTCTATGATGATCGTTAGGGAAGCCTTTGCCTGTTCTCCAGATTGGTTGTGCTGTACATTTCCTTGGGCATACTTGGCATAATGCTCAATGCCCGTCTTCCCTACTAGACTGAGCTTCATGAGGCATGGACTATATTTGCCTTGTTCACAAGTGCCTGGCCCATGGGCAGAGCAGCTGCCAAATTAGACACAGTCTCCACTCTTGAATAGCTAGAACATCTGGGAGAGTAACCATGGGACAGTTAGTGGTCCTATCTGCCCTCAGTGAGGGTATGATATGAGGGACCCAAAAAGAAATGAGAAAGAAGGTCAATGATTCCTGCCTCAGAGAAAGAACTTGACTTCTGTTTGTAATCATAACATAAGAGTTCAAGAGCTTTACAAATAAATATGTAGTTTAAAGTTCTGAGTTACTGAAGATCTATATTCCTGAGAATTCAACAGGAGAAAGAAAATGGATTATTTGCTCCCTCATTAATGAATTGATAGCGAGCTCCAACACGTGACATCAGCAGTACCTGGAGTGACTCCGGCTCCTGGAGTAGGACCGGCGCCGCCTAGAACCAGGCTTGTCTTCCACTAATCTGATTTTCCTGCCATTGACTTCAGTTCCGTCTAACTTTTCCAAAGCTCTTTTCATATCAGAGTAAGACACAAATTCAATCACCCCTTCATTTTTGCGTCCCTTGTGAGCATCTGCATATGTCACTTCTCCTGCCTGACGCATATAATCCTAAAGATAAAGAAAATCACTGATTAGATTAAGACATTTTGTTAAGGCAGCTAATGCAATCACAGTAATGAGTTTTTCCTTTCTTTTAGGAAGAAATGCTAGCTTTCCTCAGAATACAGTTTATTCTTAATAAGAGTTACACCCACAGCCCTGGCAAGTTTTCTCAGTGGTTAGAGTGTCAGCTCACGAACAGAAGGGCAGGTATCTAGGTTGCAAGTTTGATCCATGGCCCCCATCGGAGTACATACAGGGGCTACCAGTTGATGTCTCTCTTACCCTTTTACTCCCCCCGTTTCCATCTTCTCTCTAAAGATCTATGGAATAAAATATCCTTGGGCAAGGATTAAAAAATAATAAATAAAATATTTACATCTGCACACCGACCATTTCTGAGGTTCTTTAAAGCATCAGGCATTAAGTAGATGGTAGAGATAATGAATATTTAACTGTTCTTTTATAGGCCCAGTGCACGGATTCATGCACCAGTGGGGTCCCCCAGCCTGGCCTGCACCCTCTCACAATCCAGAACCTCTTGGGGGATGCCATAGAGCTGGTTTCAGCCTGATTCTTGCAGGCTAGGCCTAGGGACCTCACTGGTTCATGAATGCGTGCACTGGGCCTTTAATGTGCATATAAGGTCTTTGGTTAATGTCTTCTACTCACCCCCCCCCCCTCTTCCCTCTGAGATCCATCAGTCTGTTCGATGTTTCCATGCCTGTGCGTGGAGCGTCTGCCCGCTGGTGGTTAGTGCACGTCATAGTGAATGGTCGCTTAGGCTTTCATATATAGATTATGTGTAAATACAAAACATTTTTAACTACCACTTCCTACATTTTATATGGGCATGTTCTTTGTTTATATACACTTTAGGACTCTTAATTTTCATTATAAATTCTTGTTTAAAAACATGTTGGGGGAAATTTTTTTTAAAAAGATTGGCATGGTTCAGTGGTTGAGCGTTGACCTATGAATCAGGTCACTGTTTAGTACCTGGTCAGGGCACATGCCCAAGTTGTCGGCTTGATCCCCAGGTGTGGGGTGTGCAGAAGGCAGCCAACTGATGATATTCTTTCTCGCTCTCCCTCTCCCTTTCTTCCCCCCTCTCTTTCTCTCTCATCGATGTTTCTAACTCTCTGTAAAAAATCAATAAAATATATTAAAAAAAGAAAAAAGAAAAAATATTGGTCAGGGAGTCATATTTACCAAAGAGAATCTACACTGCAAGCTTTTCTTTAAAAAAAAAAAAAATATATATATATATATTTTATTGATTTTTTTACAGAGAGGAAGAGAGAAGGATAGGGAGCTAGAAACATCGATGAAAGAGATACATCAACCAGCTGCCTCCTGCACACCCCCCACCGAAGATGTGCCCGCAACCAAAGTACATGCCCTTGACGGGAATTGAACCTGGGACCTTTCAGTCTGCAGACAGATGCTCTGTCCACTGAGCCAAACAGGTTTCGGCATACACTGCAAGTTTTATTTAATGTTGCAGAAAACACTGGTGGTTTCAACTTTTTCTTTAATTGAAAAGAACTACATTGGTATCTCTCTATAATAGGAATTTTCAACTGATATGCCACAAGAATTCTAAAAACATGCAATACCTGACTATTTAGTCAGGGGCACTGACCTTTTTTCCCTTAGATTGTCAAATAAATAAATGAATAAATGACAACCAACTCAACAATAGCCATTAGATAAGGATGAATCAAAGTTACATCTATTTTTTTTTCAGATCTGCAAATACATAGTTTATGTGTGCATGAGATGTAAAAGATTGAAAGCCACTATTCTATAACATTCTCTGTGAAGAAAAATTTCATATAACAGATTGTTTTTAGAGTGATGGTCCCATAACATATAGTGGTAGTGAGATTCTGATGTCTTCTGTACTCTTATGGAACCTTTAATTGGAGAATTTCCAAACGCTTTGGGAAAGCTTTCAAACACTGCATTCTGTGTATGCCTGTGTCTGCATAAAGTTACCTCTGTCCCAACATTAACTCCTGCCCAACCTATCCCAGAAGGTTAATAGGGTCCAAACCTTTAGGTCTTGCCAGCTGCATCGACTTGACAAATTTTCCACAATAAGTCTGTATTCTGTGCGAGTAGGAGGGCCATATTTATCTCGGCCACTTCTTCTATAACCATATCCACCTTTGGAAGGTTCAAATAAATAAGATTACTTCAGTGGAGGAAAAGGAAAAAATGCCATAGCATATATTTCCCTTAAATATTCCATTCACCCCCATCCCAAATAGCACATATATTTTAACTATATCCCCACCCTCAAATCCAAACTAGATTTTTTTAAAAAAAGCAATCAACTAAACATGAAAATTTAATTTACAAAGTTGTAAGTATATATACTCATTAATATTTATATTTAAAAGATCATGCATAAATTAAAAACTATTAACAATTTAGAAGTAAGTAACCAAATTACTAAATCAGTTACTGGTGTTACTCACAGTGATTAACATTTTTGTGAATATTTTATATGATAAAAAAAAAAAGATTTTCAGGCACCTATTTCAGTTTAATCTCATCTGTGTCTAACCCTTGGGATCCTCACCACCCAGGTCTAATGGGGAAAGGTTGCGGTCGTCACATGGCTTCCTGTTTTTGGTCAGCCAAGGGCCACAATGGTTCAAAGAGCCACGCATGGAAAGGTAACCCAAGGTCAGCAAATGGAACAGGCAGTCATCTTAGCCTCAAAGGATTCTTTTAATTAAAACATTGAGGTCTTTGTTAAATCTATGTTAAACAATTGCATTACAGAGAAAAACAAAACAACAACACAAACACACATCATTAAACATATTTATAAAGTATTAAAACAAGAAATTTATGCCATTAATTAAAATTAAACATCAAATTTATTTGCAATTTTACATTTTAAAAGATACAGATTTTAAAAACAAATGGCTTAAATATTAATACATTTCCATGTAACATTCATTAATTACTTTTAAAAATTAACATTCAGTAACAAAAGCATGTCATTGATACAAATGCCCTTTAAATGCTTACTGCGTCCAGAACCGTAACTGCCGTCTCGACGTGGGCCGCGGGCATGCTCAACTATTACTCGCTCACCACAGAGGTCTTTGCCATTCAATTCATAAACAGCATCATCTGCATCTCGCAAATCATCAAACTCCACAAACCCATATCTAGAAGAGAGCAAACAAAATCCTGGTTGGCACCATCTTGACACCCAGCTTCATTACACTGAAGAGAAAGCCGTGAGTTCACGCTTAGCAAAGGTTAGGTGGGGTTTGCAAATTAAAGATCAACTTCCTCTCTTCCCTTCGGCAGAAACCACTTTGCTTTGTGCCCAAGGGTTAAGGAGACTTCTCAAGGTAGACTCCTGTCTTTCTAGTAGGAGACTGACTAGAGAGACCACTTCTTTAGTTCTCCAGTAGTTGGTGGCAACTACAAATACCTCCACAGGGATGCTTGATATAACGTATCAAAATATCGCATAAAACTCTTCGATTAGATCTACATTCAAACACTGTATCTTAACTGTTGAATCATGTATGGAATAACATATCAGGTTAAAAAATAATCTCAAACCTCCTTGATGAAAAAATTATTTAAAATGTTTCTTTTCCTCTACCTAAAGGAATTAGTCACAAATGAATAAATGTTCTAGAAATTATCAGTGAGAAATATTCAGAGCTCTTCACTTCTTTGCAATATTCCAAATTCATTTTCATGAGGTTTTAGGTAGGCTGGAATTCTCTAAAGCCTATCTACAGCTGTGCACACTTCTATACAAACTGTTGTTAGGAATTTCCCAGCAAATAGGTTTGGTGGTTTAGCACATACCAGAAAGAAAACAAACTACCCCCCAAAATTCTAATAATGCCTGCTAGAAAATACAACTTATAAAACGAAAGCATAAAATTTAAGATATTTATAAGCAAGATTAAACAAACTGTTATTAATAATCTTGTAGTTTGGTCTATGACAGCTGTGAAAAGGCTAGCTTTGTGACCATTGCCTACATCTAAAAATCAAAACCATCTTGATGATCATATCTGATCACAAAGAAAAGTTACCAACAGTCGTTAAACTCTAATGAAGTTGGGTACATAGGCAAACTTACTTCCGTGTTTCTCCGAAAATAAGACCTAGCGCATGGAAAGATAAGACATCCCCTGAAAATAAGACCTAACGCAACTTTGGGAGAAAAAATTAATATAAGACACTGTCCTATTTTTGGGGAAACAGGGTAGTAGGGTTTCTCTGGTTTAAACATCCTGGATTACAAGATTTGCTACAAGTTCATCCAGCCTGACCAAAAGGACTCGTTTCTTTAACATGTAATGCTATATATATTCAGCAACATGTTAGGTAAGAGAACTCAGTTTTGCAGAATTCTTTCTTTACCAAAGAGTTCCTTTCCCATAAGAGTCTCTCAAGGTGACAATGTACAACTTTGGAGGGTTCTTTATGCTGAAATGGCATAAAATCACTAATCTCAACTCCCTTAAAAAACGTAACATAGACACACCCAGCTGTTTAATGGAAAATGTTTTGTAGTAATACAACTCAGAAATCACCTGGCTCCCTTCATGGGCTATGAAGTCTTGTAAAACATGGTTTCATAATTCCATGGGCTAGAATTTCTGAGCAGCTTAATAAGAATGACATTGAACTTGAGGTAATATTTGACAGAGCAGGTAAAATCTTTCCAAATCAGTGACTTTCTATGTTAAAAAGTGCTTTAGCTGAAACTGGTTTGGCTCGGTGGATAGAGCATTGGTCTGTGGACTGAAGGGTCCCAGGTTCAATTCCGGTCAAGGGCATGTACATTGGTTGAGGGCACATCCCCGGTAGGGGGTGTGCAGGAGGCAGCTGGTCGATGTTTTTCTCTCATCGATGTTTCTAGCTCTCTGTCTCTCTCTCTCTTCCTCTCTGTGAAAAAAAACAAAACAAAACAAAAAAAAAAAAACAATTAAAAAAAAGTGCTTTAGTCACTAAAAACCTCTAGATCATATACTGCTGCTGCTTTTTCTTCCCCAAAGTCAAGTGGGTCATGAGGGAAGTTATATCATTTTTAGAGAAACAAGTTTGAAAAGCAAATAATCAAATCTATTTTCTCTTTGGTGTATTTCTAAATAGATAATAAAGTACCCCCCTCTCCTCAAAAGAACCTTCCTTAATTTAGCTGTCAAGACTTGTCATAGGGCTGCTTTGCCCACAGAATCACTGCTCTCGGCATCATGTGAGAGCCTGATGTTAAGTACAGAGAGTGGGCGAAAACACTCAACATGGCCATGATGAAATGGCCTCACACCCCTCTGGCTCAGCACCATTCAATGACCCCAACTCATTAATGTGATGCCAGAAGGAAAACAATGACTTCTAAAGATAAATAAATGAGGAACATCTAAGCCGTTCTGTTCAAAATAATAAGGATTTACAACTACGTGGGGTCAGAGAATGCAAGACCCTATGCTCTGCAAATATTCCAAAATAAAAAGCCGAACTGTTGTTTGCAACGCATTCTCCCGGCCTCAGAGATCATCCTGTCATGCCCATTCTGTTCCAAGGCTTACAAGCAGAACTCATCTAACGCTAGAGGGAAAGTGAGGACAACCTGTTAAGTGGAGGCACAATGATCTACAAACAAAAGTTAACACTCAAAGACAGACCTATTTTTTTTTTTTTTTTTTTTTTTGCAGCTGTGGCTTAAGGAAGGCATACCTTGTCAATAAAATTCTTTCCTGAGTTGTAGGGTTTCATTTGTGTTTTTAGAGGATAATGGCCCTTAAAGTCCTTCCTTAATATTTACTTCTAAAAAGTCTCAACAGGTGGGTCACATAGTAGCCATATTTTTGTGGGCTATCCAAGTTACTTAGTAAAATAGTTGATTTATGATAAAATTTACTTCAAAGAAAAATTGTGGTTACTACTCTATGAAAAGCCACAAACCTATTTGGAACATTTTAATGTCCAAGTCCAGTCTAAGGGTAAATGAGGCACTGTCACTTCTCTCTGCCACTGACATATTGGGCGGTTTGGAAGCTTAAATCAAGTATCTTTCTATAACACAAACCATACCTTAAAGGGACTCCTGTGCTAAGAGCAAAGGCCAGGGCAGAATGGTTGCTTCTAACACATTACTATTTGTTTAGATCTGCTTTACTCAAAGAATGACTTTTCATTCAACAAAGTGAAAGGGTTCCCAAATAAAGCAAGAAGACTACATATTAGCAATAAAATGTTACTTAACATTTAATTTCCATATGCTGGGCAATATTATTTATTATTCATAATACCTAGAGTCAGGTCTATTATCCCTGTTTTATAGATGAGGAAACTGAGACATACTGTAACTATTAAGATTGCAGAAGCAACAACTGGCCTAGGTTCTAGTCCTAGTTCTGCTATAAACCAACTCTAAAAGGCACATTTAAATAATTTTATTTCTCTTGGTCTAATTTATCTGTGAAAAGAGGGAGCTGTACTACATATGTCTAACGTTTCTTCTAACATCAGAAGTATGACAGATACAAGTTAGTCTTCCTCTGACCTAATGATGGAATGATGGGATACCTCGTTGTCAAGGAGCACCAGAGGTGTCCAAGAGTGACAGATGGACAGGGATAAATTTAATGTTTACCATCTAAAATACCTTTTAAAGCTACTATATGGGTTTGATTTAAATATTTTAACTATCTGAAATTTTAGTGCCTTCTAGAAAGTAAAGAACTCTTAAGTCCACCTTACTATCCCTTTGTGCTTTGCATAAAATAACATGAAATTAATCTCTGCTCCCCCAAAGTATTCTCCTTTTGATATCTTTGTCAGAGGAAGGAGTGATATTACACACATGTACATATCTCTGGTGTGACCTGAGACTAAGCCTCACAAGAACACAGTCCAACAGATGATACATTTCTGAATTCTAGCTGCGGACACCTTTCCTCTTCTGCTCTATTTAAAATAAAGACCATCTTTCAATAATTCTAGTATGAGAATAAAGAAGTTGTAGGAATTCTGGAGACTGAATCTAAAACAAATTTAAAAATCCCTCTATGGCAGAGATTGATAAAAACAAAAGCCCTCAACATTCCTCCTCCTGCTGGACTCCCAGGTGTCACATCTCTCAACCTTTCTCCCCTATGCCTGTGTGAAAGAGCAAACAGCATGGCCTAATTATTAAGCATACTCTAATTAACAATTAAAAGAAAAACTACTTTCTTCAACATTTCTCTGCTATTGCCTTTTCCCAAACTCTTTTTTATCATATTTTATCCAGACAAATGGAGTAAAAAATGATGGGAGGGAAGTTCCTGTTATTTTCTCCCTTAAAAAAGTGGACATCATGATTCTTAGCAAGTATAGACAGGTATCTGGAAACCACAAACAAATGGCACACAGAATGATGTGGGCTGTTCAAAACTTTAGTCCATTCTTCTAGTTAACAATGCTATGGTCTTCTCATTCAACACCTAATGTACTGCTCAGGCTATCAATCAGAACGTTAAGTGCTAGAACTGGAATGACATGTTTTTCAAACTAAAGTATTCCAAGACTTCAATTTTAGAAGAATTCACTGAAGAAGAGTTATCATCTGAGCTTGTGTTATTACTAAATAGGCTTTCCTAATAACCTATACCAATGGTCCCAAATACCATGCTGCATGTTCTACCGAAGAGAACGTGGAGTAGATCTCACCCCTTTTGGAACAGCTTAGGGTCATCTGTCTTCCAAACATCATCTCTGAAAAGGAAAACTGGAGAAAAGTCCTGTCTGAAAAATTAGGCTGATCAGTGGCTAACTGGTCAGGGATTGACTAAGAGGACACTTGATACCAGCTAACTGAGAGGGAGTGGATATGGGAGCAAGGGAAAGCAAGCCTCCATGCGTGTGCCTGAGATCACCCACCAACACTGCTCACACCAAGGGGCATGCCTCGGATGTTCTCGCTATAAGAAAAATGCGCCCCTTTTCATAGTGGATCTCTGCTCACCTTTGTCCTAAAACTGTGCCACATGCTTTTCTTTGTATGTGGACATGACAGTCCTCAGCCAACCATCAGCAGGATGTGAGTTTTGTTTCCCAATGTGGTGAGCCATTCCCACATTCACTCATTTTCCTTGTAAGAACCGAACCTCTCCATGGCTGGTCAGGATTAGGGATGTTGCTGTAGCCA